AAATATCTGTCCTGTGAGCAATACACAAGTGAGCTGAAAGTGCAACTAAAAATCAGACAGTCAAGACCACGAGGAAGGGGAATATAGATGCTACCTGATCTTTGCGTTATGCCGTCTGGCAGCATCCCCCAACTTCGCGGTTACTGAAATGTCGGCATGGTAGCCGACTCTATCCAGTCTCGTTTAGAGATCAGGTGTGATTTGTGATGTATTCATCGTATCGGCTTAATCGTCTGATCGACAGCGGCCGGCTGACAACATTAAACCTGAAATAGCCGTTGTTTCCGGTCTTCGCTGGCATAAATTTTACGAAAGTATTATCCTTAATTGCTTTGGGATTTCAGTAACCTTGCACTATGCAACCATCTATTTTACGCATACGCGGCTACGTTAAAATAGCTTACTCCAGTTAGGATGTCACAAACCGGTCAAGCACAATTAGCGAGATGATTCGACCATCAGAACCACGTAGGCCAATAATCAGCCTTGTCCGCGGTGAACAAGAGCATGAGACAAAAACAGTGGAAGCTTTTTTAGTTCTCCAATCATGGAGGCTTTCTTGCGCGATGTATCTCGATTACTTGACTGAAGACCGAGTCCAGAGGGTATTCGGTCCTTAGCTTGTATAGCAAACCAGAACTGGCATGAGTGCTATAAACGATCGATCATGAGGGCGATCTGTTCATGTCACGGATGAACACAAACGTAGGCCACGTACCTTTTTAACCACTAAATCAGACTGACAACAGATGAAAACAGTGCAGAGAAAAGACCTCTCGGCCCGACGCTCTAAAGTGCTTATAAAACTTGGCAGAGCGAGACGCATAAATTGGGCGACTAAGAGTACGCCAACTGCCTTGGCTGTGGTAAACGCCCACGAAGGTCTTTATGCGTTTTTTTAGAGGTCTGATGGGGGCTAAGATATTGGCAAGACAATACAGATGGAAGAACTCGACTGAATCCGTAATTCTGAGGATACAGAGGTCAATTTAAGCTAAGTAGAATGCGGACACTACGAGATCGGGGGTCATGGTAATTTGCAAAGGCGAATTGCGGCATTTCGGCGACGGCAAGTAGTTATGAAAAGCAAAATGTCGACAGAAAAGGCCGATATCGGGAAATATAAGAGGAATAAACGACCGAACCTGTTGCAGACTTGGTCTCATTAAACACATTCGTCAGATAACGTTAGACAAGGAAAACTCACCGGCGCTTAACCAAGCAGCGGATGACACACAAAGCATCATGAAGTGAGCGGTCAGCTTCATCCAAAACGAGTTTGTTGGAACCACGTAGGAGAACAGACACAGTCCGACCCTGGTTATGAATGCCGGATACTTTTACGATCTTAGAACCGCCGCTCTCGATTTCCTCTACGAGGTCAGCAGATCCCAGAACTTCGGGGGTGAGGTGGTCGACACTAGCAGCGGGAACACAGTTTAGTGTCTACAAGGGTGTCGCAAGCAGTTAACAATATGTACCTTGCAAATAAACTCGACTTCTTCCCGTTCAATGTCCTTGATAACCATAACTTTCATTTTACCAAAATAATGCAGAGCGAGGTCGTTTACAGCATCACGGAGAATACTTTTTTGAATCAGGAGCACGTTACATCCGGATTTTTTGACGGCCTTGACAATGTTCAAAATGTACTGACGCTCTTCCTTCATTATGCGATCCATTTGGCTGTAGTCAGTAACTACGACGTTATTCTCCATCTAAATCCGGATACCAAATTAGAATTGGAGGCATACATCGGTCTTCGGTGGTGAAATGCAAAACTGAACGAGGGCTATCTTTGCTTTTTCAACTCGCCGCACGCCACATCCCGATTCGACTTTTTGATTTAGAAGCAATCCGGAAATGAGTTGAGCATCTTCAACAGTTCCTCTGGAAGGGTGCAACAAAAATAACAGACGGTGTGAGAATGCATAAAAAGTGGCAGGGGTCGTTCCTGAAATAGAATTTTCGTTAGACTAAACGAACTTTTCACATCGTCGGGACTAAGTTTACTAACCACAAGTACTTCAAGTCAATGCCAAGCTAAAACTGCTTGTTTCGAGTTTATGAACACTAGGGAAGATAAGAATAATACGAAGGCATGACGGACAAACATAACGGTGGACATTCCTGGGCGAACAAGAAGCCACATTGGGTTTCTCAGCAGACTGGCATCCCGCCAAAATATGTCTTCGCATGGGTTCTGGAAAGCTCATAAATAGGTAATAACCGATGACGTAAAACGCAGGCATATTAGTTTTTCTGTTCATAACCAAACTTTCTGCAAAGTATGAAGGACTAAGCAGGGGAGTGTAAGAGAAAAAAATAAAGTAAAATAACACTTCGGACAGTTAGTTCATCGCCTATAAGAGCATGAGACTATTTAGGCATAGAAATTCTCGGAGCGCGGGAGGGAGCTCAGTAAGCGACATGTGTTGCTCTAAACTTGGTGTACATCAACCGCAAACCCTCGAAAACTTCCTTCTCCCTTTGATCTCTTGCACAGCGTAAATGGAATGGGCACAGTCAAGTATTCTGTTTCTCAACCAGTTTTTACTTGTACGCGGGGATGTGCGAGTTACGAGTCTACGGGCATGTAGGTGTTTTGAGTATTCAGAGGTCGCAGAGTTAAGGAAGACTGCATTCTGTCTGAAGGAATACATTCCGAAAAGGTAGATCCCGAGGTGACTTAATATAAAGGAGACAAATACATGGAGGTAGTATTACAGATTATGTCTTTAATACCTAAGAATTGACAACCTAACTTCAGGGACGTAGGTGCAAAATATCACAATATGCATACCCAAGTTTCTTCACGATTCGGATATCCTTAAGACTAACGGTTTCCGGCGATGCAGGATCCACAGCAGCCAAGACCGAGTCGACAGCAATGGGGGAAAGAATGCTTGAATACTGTGACACCACCTTAGAGTTTAGTGAGGTTGCAGCGATCTTCAAAAGCACTTCCTTGTCGGCCAAGTCGATTGGGTGAGACATGGAGGTCAGAACTTCACAGGCTTTAGCAGCTGCAACTTGGAAGGCTTCGGAAATAACAGTGGGGTGAAGGCCCCTGTTCAGGAGTTTTGCGCTGACATCTAGTAGGCTTCCAGCCAAAACAACTACAGTGGTGGTGCCGTCTCCAGCTTCTATGTCTTGGGCCTTAGACAACTCTACGAGCTAGAAGACAATTAGGGCATATCGAGCAATGTACCATTTTTGCGGCGGGGTGCAGGAGTTTCATTTGCTTGAGAATCGTAGCCCCATCGTTCGTGATAGTTACATCGCCTTTCGCTTCCACGATCTAAAGATGTAGAACAAGAAGACAAATAAGGGGTAGCTTTGGTATCTAAGCAACTATTATATGTAGGTTCCGGAAAGCGTGGCTGCCCTTTCCTTAGGTTTCCGGTCGTCACACGCCCATAACTATGGTGAAAACTTGTTTAGTTTCAAAATATGCATTGACTATGTGTTCAGACGTGCGCGAGGCCCGCATTCGGCAGGGCGAGGGTTCACAATAATCCTCGCATGGTCTAGATTTTTGGGCTTTGGATGGATTTTAACTTCATCGAAGCTGCCCGGTGAAGAACCCAGAAAACGGGATAGAAATCTATACGCAAGTTCTCGCTTTGAGGGTGAGATTTTTTGTTCATCAAATAAATATCGCCCACTTTATAGCCGATTATGCCGCAGGATAATCTCGTTAAAAATACGCCTTTGGCGGCACGGACTGTATCGGACATGTCAAATCGACCGTTATTCATTGCTGGATCACCAACGAACTCGGGGAAAACCGCACGCCTGGGGCAGACTGGTAAGATGAAGTTTGTGTCGATCAGATTGCTACTCTATGTGAGGAGATGAGCAAAGATCCCATGCTCAAAGATCTGCTCTGCGGCAACTTTCCGAGAACTACGGCGCGATGGAACAGGGAAGAAGTGCTGTTTTCCACAACGCGTCGGCGCCCATGTCTATGTTGGTCGGACATACACTAACGTAGACTTGTAGGGGTGTACCGCACAAACGGACGCAAAATATCGACCTACGACCAACAAGTGTTTCTTGGAGACCATAAAGCGTATCCGCGCGTAACCCTAACGGGGTAGCTTTGAAGTTGAGCTCCGCCTTTAGATCATTACAAATTGGCAGTGCCCCGTTGTTCGTGGCTCTCGCAAACCACTCGAGTTTCGTAGAAATGTCGTGCAGGTGTCTTGAAATGAAGACAGACGCAGAGGCCAACGGAACTATCGGCCGAACTGGAGTAAACATCGAGTCTTATGCACGTATGTCAATTTCATGATCACGAGACCAGTTTCACATAACTGGGCCGCCTGCCCTCGCAAAACAGTAATGCGGCGCTAGGTGGGCTTCGTTTTGTGGTCTTTTGAAAGTGTTTCTTCGGGGAGGCTTAGTTCGATCCTTTTCTCTTGTCAGCGGGTCCGTAACTCTCGTACTTCACCGCTGAGCAAACGGCCTTTTAAACACCACCTCCTGCTTACTTGGAGATATCTTGTTCGAATTACCACCCCATAATCCCTCAAGAATTCGGATTATGTTCTAGGCTCCTTGTTGTGTCAGCTAGTAGAGTGCAGTCCAGAACAAAACAGAATTTTAAAGGGAGAAATCACAAAACAGAAACGGATATCTGAGAACGAGAACATATGACAGGTAGCTAACCATTTTATCCATGCCCCTAGGGCCAAGGCTAGTGCGGATGGCATCTGCGACAGCTAAAAACGTAATTACTGACGGAACCGGAAGCTAAAAAACCTTTCGCAGCCACTATGTTACTGTCTCTGATAGCCTGAGGCTTGCTTTTGTCAGCGAACTCTTGAGATCGCTTTGGAGCATTGTTAAGGGGCTTCGCATGCGTCATCTTTCAAAAGGGTTGCAGGGAAATTTCCAAACTGCTCAAGAAACCGGTTGAGTAAAACACCATGCTCTCGTTCTCTCCGGATTGGTGAAGAAAAAAGGGTAACAACAGTTATTTAGGGGCGGTAACAGTTGTCTTTTCTATTCCAGCTAATTTAGAGTCTTACACCCCATTGTAAAAAAACTCCCATTAATACGAGACCGAAATTTGTGTATATCAACACACAAACGACGAGCTCGAAATTCACATATGTCATATCTCCCCTAACTTCATATCCTTGACATAAACCTGGTCGTCAGAAAACGTACATGAAAGCGAATTAACAATACCTGAATTTCATTTGTTTTGAAGAGGTTAATAGGGTGCCAGGGAGTAGGGATGTTCATGTATTTACGTTAAGCGCAGACTGTGTCATGAAAAGCTAAAAGCTCGCATAAATTACAGAGCTTTTCTGGAAAACCGCAAAGGAACCGGGCTCAGACGGTCTACTGACCGCCAAAGAGTTTTACTGAGATTTATGCTTGTCTGCTAGAGGGGCCAAAAATATTTGCTACTGGACCTGACGTCCTAATCGAGAGCGACTGCAACGCTCCACTCATTGAGCGGAATTTAATGTCCACGCTCGACTCCGACCTAGATAGTGACTGATGTTTTTGACATGACGCTCAGGTTTTTCCGCACTTAAAACGTCTTATTTCGCATGAGGTTGCGCGAGGGGTAACAGTCAAACCGTTTGGATCTGATGCTGAGAAAGTCGCTGAAGAGCATCAACTTTGTGCAATTTCC